GTTGTTAGAATATTATAAACAAAAACTGTGATGAAATCCCCAGGTGTCAAGTTAATTAATGTTTTATAATGTCTGTACTTGGCCTATTTATTTAAATATTCTTCTTTTTTATTTTTATTATGTGATACGTATTTGTCTCACTGCATTGTTTTGATTCCATACCTTGTGTTTTGTATTTATACACTTTTTAGTTTTATGATCTCTCCTGTATTTTGTACTTGTGGGTGCCTGACGTAAATGCAGTTGCAGCTCTTGTTAAGAAACATAGAATAAATAACATTGAATAACAATTATAGTATGTTGCTCTGCAAACACAGGTCATGCAATGTTTTTAACAACAATGTAAACTGTTTTGTAATAAGAAGAGAATAGATACTGACTTCCTCAGTCAGACAGATTATTTATTCAATCACACAACTGTAAAACAAAACACAGTATAAAACAGACTCGCCATGCTGCTACAAGTTTCTTCATGTCTCTATTGGCATTTATATTCAATACATGTGCATGCAGAATGTCAAAAACGAGTTAAACACACACAATGGAGGCTTGGTTTAACACTGGTAAACAGCCTAAATAAACAACATACCGTAAGGAAAAAATCAGTAGAGCAATTTACTTCTTTGAGAATATTGTTTTGTATGTTAGTGTAATTTCGGTATGAAGATTTCGAAATAAGTTATATTCATCACAAACCATGTTGTAATCAAGCTGTGCATCAATTAGAGTTTTCTTTTAGAAGTAGTGTGAGGTATAGTGTAATGTGCTTCTATTGCTCTGGAGCAGCAACAGCTCAAGCTATAACAGCTGTTTTAATAAAAAGAAAATGAACAACTTTATCCCTTTTTCTCAACCAGACCCCATAAGATTAGACCAGCAAATGCAAATCCTTCAAATTGATAACGCTTTATCTGAACTTCTACCAGAGTATCACTTCAACGCTTTACTGGCATTCAAAACCTGAAACCTTTAGTAATCCCCTCCTGCTGTTAGACACACTCCATCGCATTGAGCTTCGGGCTAGAGTCAGTGCTCGAGGGAGGCGTGATAAGACATTGCTGCAAGGGCACTGTTTCCCCTGTGTCTTCAACCCCTACCCCGACACAGCTCTGGGACACTCCTGGCAAGCGTAACACAGTTGTCCCTGTTGTGAACCCTGACAGACCCTGTGCCAGCGCTCTGGACGCCATCCTGAGCCCGCCTGCTCTTTTCCGTCTGGCTGAGGCCGTGGCCATTTGCCGAGCACCTGCCAGTTCTGTCAAAAAAACCAGACTCTGGGATGGAAGGCTGTAGACATGAAGGCCGCGGAAAAGTTCTGGCAGCGGTCGAAAACCACCGGGAGGCTCAGGTGGAAGGGATTCAAACTGCACCAACACAAACCGCTCACCGGCGCGGCCCTGTAAATAGTCTGCTAGGATACAGCTCAATGAGGCAGTAAACACATCTACACAGGGCGAAGACGCAGTGTAGCTTCTTCCTGTCTCCTCTATGTCTCTGTGTGGATAGTTTCTCTCTGAGCTACGAGCCCCCCATTCTTCAGCCCTTATCCAGGCAGCCTGGGTGAGGACCAGCACCACTTTGCCCCCCTGCTTTTGCAGCCGGTTCAGTCTTGAGTGGAGCCAGGGCACGGGGCCCAAAACGCTCAGCTCAGTCTGACTCCACAGGTCTAGAGACACGGTGAAGCCCAGAGCCTGGAGGGAAGAGCCCAGGTGACTCATCATCTCTGGCAAAGCCTGGTTGTCATCAGGTGGGTACAGCAACACCACATGACCCCCACCCACAGCACCTGAAAAAGAGGAATATTAAAACCTTTTTTTAGAAACAGTAAAAAGTTAAATGAAACCATTGATAACATTTCATGTCTCTCTGGTAAATCTGTTAATTATGAAGCTTTACAACAATTTCCCAAATTGGGATCAATAAAGTACCATCTTATCTTATCTTATCTCTTACAGCCACAAAAAAAGGTGAGTAATTTTAAAACAACTTGAAACAGCTTGCTCTGTCCAACAGTTAAGTCATATTTATTTTAATTCCTTCAGATAAGAATAATCCACAATAGCTGCAAACAGTGGCTCAAAAAATATAAATGAGAATTCAGGACATCGCAATTTTTTAAATAAAAGTTTGAAAGTATAATGTTAACAGTGGAAAGAGAATGTGGTAATAGTATAAAATAAGCTTTGTTGTACCTTTAACATCTTCGTCTTTCAACCATCTCCACATGTAGCCTAGAAGATAAACAGATTTACATATTAAGGGGCTTTGCTAAGGGGCTTTTAGTATTATATGATCAGCAAAGATATCATAAAAACTGACCTTTCAGGACCCCTTGCATAAGATATGCCCCTAGTAAGGCCAAAGACATCAGTAGTAGTCCAATGAGGAGTGGCAAGCTCCATCTCCATCGAGATGCTGGAAAGTAAATTAATAATTGAGTTCAGAAGTCTTTGAAAATCATGATAAAGAACTTTTAACACACCTGAGTAAACAAGTGTGAATGTGAGATCATTTATCTACCACCTTCGAATGAAACAGTGTAGCTATTTCTAACTGAGGAGAGTTAAACATTAAACACAGTTAATCTGAGTCTGGATAATAATTAATAATCTTACTTGCAAATGGACACTGTGGCTCCAAGTATAACTCGATTCCTTGTATCTTTATCTAAAAACGAGTTAAAGAGTTAAGGTTAGCACAGTGTTATGTAGTAAGAGCAGTGAAGCATTTTTGCACATGTGGATATATATTTATTAAATCAACACAAATCACCTGAACACAAAGCAGAGGATGCGACGAGATATTGAACGTATCTGTTTTCTGAAAAGTAAATGAATAATAAATAAAAAAACAAATTGAAGATTCAGGTTAATTATAATACAATATTATAAAGCATTATCCTACTTATGGTTAATAATAAAAGCAGGTAAGCCCAAAGGATCATGGTTGTAGTTAGGATGTGCAGTGGTGGATTAAGTTATTAGATGACACAATGTAAAAATACTTAACATGTATTGAAAATGTTACTGAAGTAAAAGTACATAAGCATTGTCAGAATAATGTTACTAAAGTATCAGAAGTTAAAGTTCAGTCAGAAAAAATGTTATATTGAATGTACATTCATTTGTAATCAATGTTTTTAATGATGAATGTGGTCGAGTCGGAGCTAAATTAAACCGATTTATATTCTGTTGGGTGGTTTAATATACACTATAGCTGTCAAAGAAAAGCATGAATACAGTTAGAAACGTAGGGAAATAAAAGTATAGCAAGTCAAACTGTACAACAAATAAGAGTGGATCTAAGTCCTTTTCAAAAATGAGCTTGTGACAGATTGCAAAGACAGCAAGGTAATGTTTGTACCCAATATCCAGCCAGTATGATTGTCCAGCCAGTATGATTGTGCAGTTCCTGTCTGAAGCCCTTCACCTCTTCACAGCGGCCCCCTGCAGGGTCCTTCTTGCACAGGCTCACCTCTGCGTTCAGCCTGCAGGGGGCCGTCACGTTCCAGATCAGCACAGAGCCTCCCCCCCTCTGCAGAGACTCCTTCAGAGACACAGACACGTTGTGCTGCATTCTTTCCAGCACATCTGAAAAAGATGGATTGCAATGCTGTGAAATCATACCAATGAAAATGAATCCCATGTGACCTATCTGTAATCTGAAAGACTCTTTACCTTGTCGGTTTAGGAAAGGGCAGTATTCCTTTCGAAGCTCATTTGTCTTCCACCATACCTGTAAAGAAAGGTTTCAAATATATATATTTTCATTATAATGTTTGTAGCTCAACTTTTCTTGCCACCTACACTTCAAATGTCAGATACCTGAAAGCACATGCATGGTGCAACAAATTTGGACGGAAGGATGATCTCTCTGTCGTCTTTGGGCTGCAAACGTAGGTAAAAAAAAAAAAAAGGTTAAATAGATAAACACAAACATTATTGATTATGTAACTTGCAATTGATGGGAAGGTTTAGCATGGACTAACCCACACAATATACTCTCCAGTCTGGTGATTCTTAACCATGAGCTCATCAGTGACGTTAGAGTTTTCACTCTGGAGGAGGACAACGACGACATTTCTCTCATGATCAAATCGGAGTCTGGGAACTGAGAAATCAATCATTAGGATTTACAAGTAAGATGTATCACTCTACAAGTATGTAAAACTATCATGTGCATGCGTGTCGTTATGCACAATTCATGTTCGTCTATCAAAATCTGAGACCTTGAGCCTCCTCTCCTCTTCCAATAAAAAGCTTGGAAAAACTATGTGGAGCCCCCTGCTGAGACCCGCCTCACACTTTTAAAACCTCTATACAGCAGTTTTATATTTTACAACAGATCTTACCATCACACTTCTTTAAAGTCCTATTTAGATTCATGGAGCAAACTGAAAAAGAGAAGAAGGACTTGGTGATCAGTGGCATTAGTAGTCTGAAATTCAGTGTGTCTTTGCTTACATGGCTGAGCAATATTACCTTCTTCCAAAGATGGGATGGTGATTTCTTCCGTTTTATTTGAACGTGAGACTCGAACCACAAGGGGATTGCCCAACGTCACTTCTTCCTCTGTCAACACCAGCTGTTTTTGCTGAAAATATAAACATATGGTAAACATTAAGTATTTAAATAATTTAGTAACAACAAAAAGCACTTAACGACAAAGAGAAGTGGTGGAAGAAGTATTTAGAATTAGCCTAGTTAAAGCACCCATACAACCCATACATAAGTCCTGCGTTTAAATCATGCTTTTAAGTGTTGAAATATTGTAAGCATCCTCTAGGACAGTTTTTTAGTAAATCTAGTTACTTTCCACCATTGGAGACTTTTTAATTAATTATTCAACCACAGAAACAATAACTAAACAGAGGTAATTCTGCCTAACATATACCTTATGCTTGGGTCGTTGGGAAGAAGCTTGATCGAAACCAGAGGAGCTTGGTTTAAACTGGATTGTCTTGCAAAAGTCCATGGAGCCTGGAGAGCTGAAACATACTATCACCGTAGCTGTAACACAGAAAGAACAGAAGATGAGTTTGCAAAGTAATTACATTGGAAAAAAGGAAAATTCATGTGAAAATAGAATACGGTGTGTGTGTGTGCGTGTGTGCGTGTGCGTGTGCGTGTGTGTGTGTGTGTGTGTGTGTGTGTGTGTGTGTGTGTGCGTGTGTGTGTGTGTGTGTATTGCTCTATACCTCTCGGCTCTGGAACTGTGCCACTTCCTTCTGCCGGTTGACTNGGGTTTCACAACTACCAATATTTACTAGTCGACTAGTTTTTCAAAATAGTAGTCGACTAGTCGACTAGTCGTTACGTCATAATAAAGACACACAAAGAGAGGTTTACATCTCTTTGTGTGTCTTTATTATGACGTAACGACTAGTCGACTAGTCGACTACTATTTTGAAAAACTAGTCGACTAGTAAATATTGGTAGTTGTGAAACCCCTAGTAGGCTACTACATTATGTGAAAAAACGAAATGTCTTCTTTCTGTTCACATTTACCACTAGGTGGCAGTGATGTGTAAAGATCAGTTTTTCAATGAAAACAGATAATCCACCAAAAGGGCTTTTTTCAAAAAGGACACATTATGTCATGTCACAGTCATAAAAGCAAAGGTGTAAATAAAATAATTAAGGATCCAAACCTGTGGGAATAGTAAAACATAAATTCCTCCAGGAGGGAGAAGAAGGCCAGCTCTGCGAGGGCCCAGTGGAAGGCGGGCAGCTCGGGGCCACAGGGGTTTCCACTCATGGTCATCAGGGATCGAGCCACCACCACCATGGACCCCGAGATGAACACATAGTTGAAGAGGACGGTCTTCAACACATGGCGAAGCCTATCTGGATCCACCTGGAAGACCAGGAGGGAATCACAGGGTAAACACTAAGTATAAATGTATTTTTAATGACAAATATATTGCATTTTCATGACATTACGTACATTACCTACATTGAAATGCCTGGAGTATATTTGGTCATTATTCTCTTTTGCACATTTTTAAGAACATCTCCAGCTTATATGTAGGTTGTTGCTGATTTTTTTTCCCCATGTGAAGTTTGCTCATAAGGTTAACAAAATGTTTATAACAAAGACATGCAAGTTTAGAGGTCAGCATTGATAGTGTAGTTTAAGTTATCAGCTTCACTAAATCAAAGACAGAAGATATCTCCAGTTTGTGTGTAACAGTCATCCTTTTCCCAATAAACTTTGGACCCTGTGAGTTATAAACATATGGACATATCACGATGGCCCTTTGTGTGTGTCTGCAGTGTTCACATGTGAACTGTTGCCCAGTTGCAGTATAATTCTGTGGTATGATGTGTATCAAAGTACAAACATAACAACCTACATATAAGACAGACAGTTCTACAGTGAGATTCATTTAGTGTTTGGTTGGTTTTATTAAAGTTTCCATTGGAAGATTGACCAGGGGCTTCAATTTAAGCTATATGGATAGATTGCTTGATAAAAGATAAATTGATGCTACAAAACAGCACAGGGGCTTTATTTATTAGGGCTCAGGTTAGGAGGTTACAATCAGTCACGTCTCTTTGACTCAGAGTAACGGGCCTTGGAAAGCTCACAGGACACAAAAAAGGACTTTTGCAGCTTCATCAAAGTTTCTGACACAATGCTATGCTACAAAAATATGTACTCCTATAAGTGCCCCACAAATATTATGCATATTCAAATTGGGATAACACACTTAATCTTTTGGAAGTATATCATTAAAGCAAGATGGATGAATGATGGATTTCGGCCAACCATCAACGTCTGTTAAGCAAACACTGAGAGGACTTTGGTCAAATGGCCAGGTGAACACGTCTCATCAGAGTACTCAGGATGTTCGTAAACATGCACGCAATACATGTCATATTACAAGAGTCCAAAAGGAGCACAGGAAATAATACTTTGCAAAAGTTGAAAAATGTATAAATTAAATTAGATAAAATTCAATATAAAAATATAAATAAATAGGAAAATACATGTATAAATGAATCGATAAATACAGAATATTATAATAATTATTAAATTACATTTTTTTTCATTATTAATTCATTTTTTTGTATTTATTTTTCAAATTTTGACACAAATAATATAATAATTAGTTATGCCAGTTTATTCATTTACTCCCTGTTATTTTCATGTATTGTGATGCGAACAACTGATTAAGGAAATCTCTATGATTTGTTGTAATAGGAGACATGTTTTAATAGGTGAATTTATCCGTACAATAATGCTTGGTTTAACCTGGCGTTTTAGGGCTGAATAAAGATAAGAAGAATGAGATTAGATGGATTTATTATCCGTAAACATACGAAATGCCATAAAATAATCTGTCTTCTGATTCAAAGGTTAAAAAGGGTTAGAAAATACATCTAAATTAGAGGTCGTTCATGCAGTATCAGTTTTGGTAGAAGGAGGAGAGAGTGAGTGGAAGTTTGTATCTCAGTGATAATCAAATGCCTAGTTCAAAATAGTGGTGGTGCTGGTGGTGCTGTTTTAGTATTTAAAGTGAAACTGGAAGAGATTCAGTGCAGAACATACCGGGTTATTCTTGTCCGGCTGGATTCGGTAGCGGGTGATGAAGGAGGGTTTCCCGGTGGTGTCCACCAGCAGCAACAGACAGTTCGTCCCCCAAAACGCCAGAGTGGGGACCAACATCGAGCCTGTGGAGAAACTACCGTCAGAGAGGGACAACTAACCTGCCTTTGACCTGGACCTCAATATTTAAACATCAATAAAGGATGAAAACGTCTTTTTTTTTAAAAGAAACAACAATTTTCATGATCAATTCTGCATGTTTAACAGTCTGGCCTTGTTATTTCTGAGCTCACTAGAAAATGGATTTTGCCTTGCCACAATCTAAGATAATAAACATAATCACAGAAATAAACTGGTTGTACTTTGCGTTTGGTTTATTGATTTACCTCAAGACCGATTACATAATTACTTTGGAGAAAGCACCTTACATGTGTCACTGGAAGCAATATTTGCCCTATCTGTTAATGCACCCGTGACTGTCAGCACGTAACGTCCTACATTAGATTGTGTGTCCAAACAGCTAGACAGTTGACACAACACCAACAACAACATGATGGCTACATCATAAAAGAGAGTAACTGGACACCAGAGGTCATTCTTTGATATGCAGAGCTAAACAAATGTTCTCAAAGCTAAACAAATGTGTTTTTTCCTCTGGGGTTGGTACTCTTTTGTGCAGGATCACAATTCCCAGCTTTGAGTTAAATCATTTGTAAAATCACATTTAAAACTACATTTATTATAAGTACTGTGAAAAAACCTAAAATACAAAGCATGTTTTGATCAAAGCAAGTCACTCATTCTGTTAACGTGTAGGAAACAGATCAGTGTGTTCGATTTGACCTCAAAAAGACCTCTCTGGTATGAACTGTCCGTAACAGTGTGTTGGCTGCAAAGTGCACTTTCTACAGAACATGTTTTTGGAAAAGAAAAAAAAATCAATTGTGTTGTTAGTTCTTACCCAAGTAGAACAAAGCAGTCTCATGACCCTCAAAGCCCACGTACACCTTGGTCCACATGTTCTGCCAAAAATCTCCGGAAGCTCCCCAGAATCTCTGAAGATGCCTGGGAAAGGAAATCTTGTCAAATATCACATAACAATGAAACTCAGAGGACAATAGAAACTACCCTGCAACAACTAAGCGTCATATCCTTTCATTCCAGTCACATCATGCCCTCTGTTGAAAACCTTTTTTCTCCTCCTGAATCAACAATACAGATGTTTTAGCCAATTGGTTTTCAGTCTTCCAAGTAATTTAATATTTGTAAATTAAAGAACTCAAATTATTGTATAATGTGGTCATTGGTATGTACCAGTCAAGTTACTTTCATTTGTAGTTCGATTGTAAATATTCTCCTTAAGTTAATTTAATGACAAGAACACTAACCTTTTTATAAATATCCTATACACAAATTGTGTTTCACTTATACCTTAATCATTAATAACAAAAATGACACTCAATTTCAAGGTCAATTGTTCTTTTCTCCTCAAGTTAATACAGGATAAGATATTGGTTTGTATTATTGTAACACTGTAACTTGTAATAAAATCCTACCATGTCAGCGAGTTGCCGAATGCAGCCAAGAATAAGATTCCAGATCCGATGACCACAGCAGCTTTCTTCACAGAGTCCCACAGTCCTCCAGGGCCCTCCTGGGTGGAGAAAAGGCAACAATGATGAATCTATGAGCCTCTTCGTTACTCTGGTGATACTGTGCAGTCTCATGATGAGGAGCTACATCAGCGTTTCCCACAGAGACATCACAGGGGGCAGAAAAGAGTCTAAAACTACATGAGGATGGCAGCACTGTATCTAGTTGTAAGCGAGGAATTTCACACCATGGGACTGCATGGATATAATGAACCATTATAAACAAGTGAGATTGAAGGGCAAAATAACATCAGGCAGCAGGAGAGAAACATCAATGTGCTTTAAAATGATTATAGTTCTCTTAAGCATACTATATTACATTATTGTTTTTTGGACTTGATAGGAAAGATTCCAAGTTGTTTTTGCATTGATCCACTTGAACATTATTCACATCACATGTCTGTTCCTTGAATAATGTTCGACTATAAATATTAATGTAAAGGAAATTGTTTTATATGAAGTTAAATAAAGCAGAGGCATATTCCAAAAGCTATATATTTGTGTAGGTTAAAATCATCAAACCTTTTAAAAAGCCACATTTCTCGATTGTAATTGCAATAATCCATATATGAAATGTGAATGAGTTGTGTTGACAGTGATGACCAGACAGTAAATTAATCTGAGATTAAGGTTTTCATTAAACACTTTTGAATTATTTTAGTGTGACCTAAACAGATTTAAAAGGATGTTGTCCCTTTGAACTTAATTTTCAGCTACAGAGAATCCAAGTATTTATTTTATCTTTAATACTTAATGGCAGTTGTAGAGTGCTTTTAATAAAAGCAAAATCTAATCCAGCCAGAGTGAGAGAAAACAGGATCAGTCCACTCAGTGGGTATAAATCCAGGGATTGATGTCACATTCAAAGACCTTTAAAAAAAAACAACTGGCAGCTTTTATCCCGGCTGCCCTTTGCACAGCCATGGCAACAGTGGGAACGATGTTACTGACAGAACTGTCCGCTGATACTAATGCATACTTAATCCTTGTAAGGACAATTTATAAATGACATTTGTAGGCGTGTGGCGCAGTGGATAGAGCGTTGGTGTTTGGATCAAGGGAGCACAGGTTCAAACCCCACTGCAGTCAGCATGTCGTTGTGTCTCTGGGCAAGACACTTCACCCCAAATTGCTCCTGTGGGGATTGCCCACAGTATTGACTATGTAAGTCGCTTTGGATAAAAGCATCTAACAAGTGACATGTAAGAAATATAATCAACAAGAATGTACAAACGCACACCCAATCATATAATTATTTCTAAATTAGTGCAAACTCCCATTCTACAGGAGGAGATTAATCTGTCATTAACATTGCTCATGGCTATATGTATGGAGCTAATTTCCTGCCATAACTCCACAAACAAACTAAACAGGTTTTACAAATGCCTCATGATTCACTAACAAACACAATGTGGTTTGCAAATACAAAACACCATCTACAAACTGATGCATTCAGTTTTGCAAAGAAAAAACATATCTATCAAACAAACACAACATTTTTCTAATAAATCATGTTTCAGAGACAAATTCAGCAGGTTTTACAAGTACACAACTTTTTTTTTACAAGTACAACACGTTTTTTTACAAGTACACAACTTTGTTTTACAACTACACAAGTACATTTTTTTCCCTTCTCCATGTCCCCTAGGGGGCTCTGTAGAATTTCTCTCTGAAACATGATTTATTAGAAAAATGTTATGTGTTTGTTCAATAGATACATTTTTTTCTTTGCAAAACTAAATGCATTAGTTTGTAGATGGTGTTTTGTATTTGCAAACCACATTGTGTTTGTTAGTGAATCATGAGGCATTTGTAAAGCCTGTTTAGTTTATTTGTGGAGTTATGGCAGGATCCATTATCCTCTTTGTCACATTCAGGGCTCAATAAACTGGCAGACGAGAGTAAAAAATGCTACTTGTCAGGTCAAGCCTGTCCCAGAGAACAACCAGGCAAACAGAAAGAAGTGGCAGAGCTCCGGTCAGAAAACAAAACAGGCAGGTGGAAGCATTATGTAAGCATTATGCATTACACAACCCATGTTGAATACAAATCACGTGTCACAAAGAGAGGAAGAAAGGCAATATTAAAAAAGCTAAAAAGTTTTAGTTTAAATTCAGATTGGGTTTTTTGAGTCTTAGAGAAGGCTGAGATTTAGGTAAATATATATCAGTAGTAAAAAATGTCTGGGTGTAAAAACTGAAATATTTGTTCCGATATAATATCAACCCATATGAGTAGCAGACAGAAATACAGTGCTTCTATATCTTTATGTGACATTATCTGAAATAAGCTTTTTGGCCAACCCTAATATCATCAGTGTTGACTTTAACATGAACTGTCTCAGAGACAACATGGTGAAAAAGAAGCATGCAGGTTTTCTGAAAACATGTCGTATAATAGTTACATTTCAACATTTTCCAGCACAAATCATACAATAATTCTGTCGTTTGATCTTGTAAGCCTCTTATGCAGAAAAAGGAATGTCCAGGCACTGAAACAAATGACTTGAGATTGCAGCTCACAGGTTTTTTAAAACTATAAACCAGTTGTCAGAATCAGAAACAGGTTTATTAACAGGTAGGTTTACACATACGAGGAATTTGACTTATGTAACATTAACTTCTCAATGCCTGTTTTTTCATGAGATGCCACCGAGATTAAAGGGTTGTAGGAGGGTTGAGCAGCAGGTGAATCAATATAATATGACAGAAGAGTTTGTTTGTTTGTTTTGGTGTTTTGGTTTTACCTGTCGGCTACTGCGTGTCGGGGCAGCTCCCCTCGTGTCTGTAAACACAATAACAAATACAGGGTTTGTCTTTCCAGAAAGGATTAATACAGATTCTTAATTTAAGCATACAATTAAGGAGGTAAACAATCTTTCGTCACAAATAAATAATACAATTGACTTACAGCAATACAAGTTTAACCAGCTCCAAATGATAGACATACGTAAATGGATGGTTTTGGAGACATTTGGCCAAAGATAAAATAATTAATATCTTGCTGATATTTTTTTTTAAATGAAGATGGCCTCATCCTAGTTTGATTGGTTAACAAAAGGGTGTTTCAAAACATTTTTTTAGCTTTATGATTAAAGTCAATTTTTTGTTTTTCCAAAGAGCTAAAAAACACTGTGGGTTGTCTTCAACAGTGTTACACAGCTAACAGTGTTTTTTATTTGACTTATTTATTGTGTGATAATCAATTCACATGCAATACAGTGCATGAATAAGTGTTGGCCTCATGATGAACCATCACTGATTTTCACCACACATATTTGAGGCATTAAACAGTCAGATCTCAGTCTGATTTTCAACTTTCCATGCTGCAACAATCATCCGAGTGCTGTGCAGCCTGGGGTGAAATTTAAAACTGGAGGCTTACATAATCCAATTATAATCCATCGTTCTTACAGTTAGCACATTCTTGGGGATAACAACCTGCCCTACATCCACTATCTCTCTGTTTGTTGTTGAACAAAAATACATACTAAGTTTAAGTTTAAAAAAAGAACAGAAATCATATAGATGTCAAGGCAAGTGTAACACACCAAGTATATTGAAGTCTTCTTGCAATCAAAATGTGGTTTGTCTATTGTTATGCTACTTGGATGTTTGAGCTTCACAGTGCAAAATTATGTTCGTGCAGATGACAATAGAGGAAGAAAAAGTAGTAAACACAAATTATACTGATTTTGTTTTTAAAATATTGAGACAATCTTCGAGCTGTAGCTTCAGAAATGCAAAGAATATTATATCCGTTTTCAATTGACTGAATCAAACCACTGCTTTATAATGTATCCTATTATCATTGACTGCGCATAAGAATAAATTACATTTTTACAAAGATAGATAGTCAAAATAGGAAAACAATATTAGCCAAAGTAATATTTAAGAATACCATAGCCTAGAAAAATCGTAAAGAGTTACTATTTTATTGAAATTAAACATAGCGTTGAGCTCCTAACATGCAGGATATGAACTGCGCTGTCCCTCATTGGAAACATCACCTGCTGCCTATAAGACTGATTAGGTTTTGGATCGATATTGCAGTTAAGCAGCCACCAGTTACCCAACTAGTTTTAAACGTAAGAAAAAGAGACTCCCGGACAAGTTCAAAGCCAAGTATATAACCTACTCACCACTTGTTTCCACCGTCATGTCTCCTCGCTCTCACTGTTGGCTCTTTACACATTCTCAAAACAACCGTGTATTTACAACGGCGGACGAATTCTGATTGGTCGGTTCTTGGTCAGCTGACTTGAGTCACACCCAGAAGTAGTGGCAGGTATGTGTTGACCCTGAAATGAGGAAGGGATGTCCACCTGTAACAGGTGAAAGTTTAAACTCAGCGTGGAGGCTTGTGTTACATATTCCTAGGGGGGAAAGTACATTTGAGTAGAAAAGACTATGTTGAAATGATTATTAGATTGATAATATCAAGTCAGTTCTAATTCTGAGAAAATAAACTGCGGTCAAGCCAGCCTCCACTTCGGAAAACACAGTCAAGCCAGCATCCGCATTGTTTTGCGGTGCGGGAATATCCTATGCATTATGGTAGCGGCCTGGAAAAACTGCCTTCAAAATAAAAATGCTTACTCGGTCAATAGCAATTATACTAAACATATTAAAATATGTACTATATAGGCCTAATGTGATCAATAATAATGTAAGACAAACTACGTATAACTACCACATTATAACTGAGTGAATGTAATACTTAAAGAGTTTCAAAATAAAAGATATGAGCTATCATCCCTCTGTTTTTAGATAAGAATAAAACAAAAACCCTCCAGTATCAAATACTTATTTCACTTCAGGGTGATAGCAGGACACCCCATCTAGTCACTCAGAGACAATCAGGACAATCTGATGTACAGTTTCAAAATAAAAGACCTTTGAAATCTCATGAGCTATCATCCCTCTGTTTTTAGATTACAATAAAAACAAAAACCCTCCAGTATCATATACTTATTTCACTTCAGGGTGATAACAGGACACCCCATCTAGTCACTCAGGGAGAATCAGGACAATCTGATGTACAGTTTCAAAATAAAATACCTTTGAAGTCTCATATATGAGCTATCATCCCTCTGTTTTTAAATTAGAATAAGAGTAAAAAATAGATTCAAAATTCAGGATAATAAAAGAAAACCAAGTAGCTATCTAAAGCTTTTTCTTGAATATTTAGACCGACCAGGCTTCCCTGATGTCTAACGGTATCGTGTTCCAGAGCTTTGGGGCATAATTAACGAAGGCCGCATCACCAATTTTCTTATTTCTGGCTCTGTTTAATTGTTAAGTAGGACACATTTAAACAGCTGACACAACAGCTTGCCATGGGCCCAAGGCGCTTGAGGCAAAATAGGCAATGATGAAGGCTTAACATTTAATTTGATGTAGACAGGTTCATATTATTATCAGTGATGCTAAACATATTGTAAATGTTCTTGTACTGTAAGTGTAGTGTATCAAAAACACATATATTTGTTGCAAGTGTATTTAAGAATAGGAAGTTAACATATTATATCAGTGCCCCTAAAAATATATCTAATGGTATAACAGGGGTA